GGATCCCCCCCCCTCAATTGAAGGAGGGAGCGGGTCACCCTGAAGAGGGCGGCCGGGCGGTTATCTGATGACGCGATGAGTGAGGAATAGTAGTTAGTCCTAGTCACCCTCATCGCCACTAGGTAGGATCTAACATGTATCCTTACCTGTGTTCGAGCGGATTCGGTTCGGCTGGCCCTCCAACTGCTCTCTAGGCGTCAATGCTGCTAACATTGGATGTTTTGCATTGAACCAACAATGGAAATGTAGCCATCTTTTTCTCTTTCGCTTTTAGAGTTAGATGATGCTGGGAGGGGGGGGGAATGTGAGCGAGAGTCTAGCTAGACATAGCAACACTAAACTTAGCGTGAGAATCAAGGTTATCGAGTCCAGAGCTGATAAAGAATTGGCGGGCTGGAGAACTGGAGAGGAAGCCTGCGCTTCAAGCTAATTGGGGAATGTGATTTATGATGGTTAATTGGAGGAGGGAATTGTGCTTTGATACTATGTGCCCAGGGGAGGGGAATTCAGTTTTTGGTTTCGATTATGCAGTGCCGATATTATGCTACTCAAATAAAATATTCTTTAAGGTAAACAATGCCTTGAAGTTCTTTTGAAGAGTTTCATCTGTTGGAACCATGACAATAGGTACACTGTTCATTTGATTAATGGTGGTAACTGTGATTCTCTTTAGCTCTAACCCTTCATTAAATCTAAAACTGCAACAATTATTAAGTTACTAATTGACAAATTCACCATCAGTCAATTGCAAAAGGCAGCTTTACTTGGAACAGCTTACATCCTGTGAAAATATTTGTAACATCATCAAACATCTATATCTGCCTATCCCAGGTTGTGGGAAGGATTGGATTTGTCAACAGGTGGGAAAAAATGGCATATCTAGTCTGAACATCTGGTTGACTATGCGATGAACACCAAACACAAATAAATTAACATTTGAGATATATGCTGCTTCTAAATAACAATAATGCAATACTTATTTTGCTGATTGGCCTTTTTTTTTTTCCCCCGGGACACTGGACATTGCATGATGGTGGATAAAAGAGGTATAATTAGATTTGCCTTTGGAAAATATTAGGTAAATATTTCTGTACCAGAGCAATAAATAAAAGGTAATCCCTTTAAGGAGAATAACTTATTTGTATTGAAGGCACAATGACAAACTTTGATATAGGACTATTTGAATAAAATTAAAATTCAATTAATTAAATGTTGCTTATTCTATTGCTCCTTACATAGGAAGCATTTCTGCCATTGGTCCTGTGAAAAATGATTATTCGATGGCACATTTGGTTCCAGATGATACCACAGTGACCTGAGATTTCCTTAAAGCATTAAAGACATCACAAAAAAATGAAAGGAAAAAAAACCAGCTCTACAGATGTCTATGTCTATGCATAGAAAATCTTAGCTTTATCGCAGTTGATTATGGAATTAGATACTGTACTATCCCCAGTAAATAGTTTTTATCCCAGAGCTGTAACCATATTAAATAACATTGTATAGTGCAACTTTGAAGTGCAATATTAGGGGCAGTGCAATGGTGAATAGAATGTGAAGGATGTGTGTATATAATGTATGTTCTTATTTGTGGTTTTTACTTGTGTGTAGTGTGCACTGTGGACAGCACTTAATTTCGTTGTGAATTACACAGTGACAATAAAGATATTCTATTCTATTCTATTCTATTCTATTCTATTCTATTCTGTTCTGTTCTGTTCTGTTCTGTTCTGTTGTTCTGTTCTATTCTATTCTATTCTATTAAGAACAATATACTTTTAGAATGTGTACAATAAAAGGATAAGCTAAATTTATTTATTTAGCATATGGCTTATCAAACGTGGACTAGCAATATACATTCACGTTTCATCTAGGTTAGTAAAACACAATAAAATATAAATGTTAAAAAGATCTTATGTTCAGATGCCAACCTAAATATATTCATGGAACAAATAATCACATGAAATGTGTGCCCTCTAGTGGCATAATGGCAGCATTGCACCCATTTCAGTTTCCCAAATAAGTACTGTACAGGTAAGTCAGTCTTTGACTTACAAAATAGTTCATTTAGATACAATGGCACTGAAAAAGTGACTATTCTATTCTATTCTATTCTATTCCATTTTCTATTCTATTCTATTCTATTCTATTCTATTCTATTCCATTTTCTATTCTATTCCATTTTCTATTCTATTCTATTCTATTCTATTCCATTTTATTCTATTCCATTTTATTCTATTCCATTTTCTATTCTATTCTATTCTATTCTAATGTTGGGAAAAAAACTCTTGGAAAAAAACAAATGGGTTTTCTTCACTCACTCTCATGGGAAGGAGAAAACTTTGGCATCTGACTAGCACTGACCATGTCACTTAGTTTGGGTCATGAAATGTCTGCAACAAAACAAGCAAACTCACAGAGCACAAGGACCCCACACTCGTAGTGGTTTCCTCCTCCTCCTCCTTCCACCCTCCCTCATCCATCTGGCACTGATGATGTTACCTACTTGGGTCATGAAATGTCTGCAAGAAAACCGCCAAGCTCAGAGAGCAGCAAGGACCCATCGTTTCAACCCTAAATCTACAAATATTCTCCTTTATTGGTACTTTGGCATCTAAATCTCTTTCCTATCCTCCATCTAGAAAGCACAACTGTCTGTAGTGTTAGCTGGATTAAAATATAGTCAGCCCACAAGGATGCGTCTTGAACGTTAGAAAAATATTTTATTAACATAAATAGATATATAAAATAAAATAACAGGAAGAAACCATTCCATACTGCTAATAAACCTCTAAAAGAGGAAAATAGCTGCTTCTTGTGTAAGTTCCTGGTGTCAACAATGAGTCAAAGTTTGTAGGTAAGGCAGGGCTGACTCTTTAGTGCCCCACCCAGATTTTAAAAGACCACAAGGCTAAATCTGCATGGATTTAGCTTACAAGAGTCCTTCATAGCACCAAGAAGGTATAAATAAGAGGAATGTGGAATTTCATGGCGTCCTGTTCAGCGGGCTATGAAAAATAAGGATTTTCCCCACAAAACGGGTGTCCAGCACCTTTGCTATAATTCAGCAGCTTTAACTTACATTCATTGCTCCTGTTGAGCAGAAAATTAAGATATCACAAAACATGAACCTAGCCACTAGCCTTCTTTCACAACACGTAACTTAATTCTCACCAAGCTATCCATACTGATCTGGCTGCTGGTCATCTTACAGGTCGTCCTCAACTTACAATAGTTCATTTAGTGACCGTTCAAATTTACAACGGCGCTGAAAAAAAATGACTCACGACCATTTTTCACACTTACGACTGTCGTAGCATCCCCAAGGGGGGGGGGGTCCTACGATCAAAATTCAGACGCTTGGCGACTGATTCATATTTACGACACTTGCAGTGTCCTGGGGTCGTGTGACCCGGCTTTGCAACCTTCTGGCAAGCAAAGTCACTGGGGAAGCCGGAGGGACTTCACCATCCTGTTACTAACTTAAGATCGGCAAGGGATTCAACGGATGGAAACTAATCAAGGAGAGAAGCAACCTAGAACTAAGGAGAAACTTCCTGACAGTTAGAACAATTAACCAGTGGAACAACCTGCCTCCAGAAGCGGTGAATGCTCCAACACTGGAAGTTTTTAAGAAGAGACTGGACAGCCATTTGTCCGAAATGGTGTAGTAGGGTTTCCTGCCTGAGCAGGGGGTTGGACTCGATGACCTCCAAGGTCCCTTCCAACTTTATTATTATTATTAAAAGGGGTAAAATGGGGGCAAAACTCACTTAACGAAGGTCTCCCTTAGCCACAGGAAGGTTGACCTCCACTGTGGTCGTAGATCGAGGACTACCCGTGTTTAGTCAAGAAAAAATAAATACCGTACTCTCAAGTCAGCATGGATAGCTTGGCTAAGGACCAAGGGGAGAAGGTGCAGAGGCTCGTGAGTGCTTGGAACACGTACTCTTTGGTCCACAAGACTGTGGTCTCTTCACCCGTGGTTTGGTAGGAATGGTGGTCTCTTTAATGGTGTGAGGTATACGGTGTGCCTAAGTAGGGGCGCTCAGCAGGAACCCCTCTAGTTATTCCCAGCTGCATTAAATATTGGGGAGAGTGCAAAAGGCCACAGTTCTAAGTCCCTGAGCTTTCTTAAGAAAGAAGAAAAACTATAAAAAGCAGAAAACTCGTTGAAATAAGAGTGTGTTGGACCAAGGTGATGTGGCTGGCTTGGCTCCTTGGAGATGCTTTCATCTGTCCATCGATGATCCAGCTGTTGCATAGATTATTAGCACAGCAGTGGGTCTCTACGCTGCCCAGGTTCTTGTAGATGGAGGTGTAGGGGCTGTCGCACCAGGATGGGGAAGCACAACCTTTGATGAGTGAATTATTGCCAGAGATGCCTGAGTGAGGGAGAAAGCAAAAGAGAAACTGAGGCTTCTTTTCCCACTTGGACCATACCATGGAAGGATACGATCCTACAATATAATGGAGGAAGCAGAAGATATCTCAATGGCACATAAAGTTCATTTTCCCTTAAATGCTCAAGGGGAGAGATAGATGTTCACATTATGTCATGCCCCCAGTTCTGCTGACCACAAGGAGGCAGAGACTACACAACCAGTTTCATCCAGTATGGGATTTGGCAGATGTAGGTACTCAGAGGTTATTCTAGAGCAGCGTTTCTCAACCATGGCAACTTTAAGATGGGTGGACTTCAACCCCCAAGGATTCTCCAGCCAGCCAACTTTAAGATGGGTGGACTTCAACCCCCCAAGGATTCTCCAGCCAGCCAACTTTAAGATGGGTGGACTTCACCTCCCAGGATTCTCCAGCCAGCATGACTGGCTGGAGAATTCTGGGAGTTGAAGTCCACTCATCTTAAAAGTTGCCATGGTTGAGAAGTGCTGTTCTAGGGCTTTTAAACCCTTGAACCGAATTCATGAATCTTTGCTCTTCAGATGACTATATACAGCTCATTCAATGGTTATATGGAATCTGTCAGAATTGTACATGACGGGCAACCATCTCTCTCTGCTCTGAGAGCTTAAGGGAAGATGGACTTAACCTTGGCATGCTGAAGACGTGTGGACTTCAACTCCCAGAATCCCCCAGCCAACCAGAATTCTGAGAATTGAAGTCCACAGCTTGCCAAAGTTAAGAAACACTGGCGAACACCATTCTGATAAATTGGTAGGTTCAGAAATTGTCTTCATCCACCAACAGGGATGACCCAAAAGAATTTGGATCGTCAAGAAAGACGGAGTCTCCACCCCACTCTGAAGCCAGCTTGAAACTCTTAGTCCATCTGAAGGGGGCTCATGATTTCTGTAAATGTATTTCTAAACCTTTCTCCTTGCTCTCCCTCTGCGGATTAACTCTTAACCGCCTTAGAGAGGGAGCAAGGGGAATTTTTCACAACTGACTCACCGTGGATTCCTGAGGCTTCTAGGCACTGAGTCATGGGGCCTCGGCATTGCACCGTTGTGATGTTATCTGGGGCACAACCGTGAGTAGTGTTTCCTTCGCAGCTGTGGCACGTGACCCCGTTCAAGGGCAAGGGAGTCTGCTTGTAATCTGCAAATAGAGGCAAACTCTGTGAATTGGTTCCCCTCCTGTATTAAGCAAAGTGTTGCTGTCCATGACAATGGAATATACCGTAATTGGTTGGGTATGCACAACATGCCAAGTCCCAAACGTCCTTATTCCAAAAGGCAAGTGGACTTTCCAGATTTTTTTTTCCCCTTGAAAACATCTCACTTCTCATCCAAGAAGTATCTTCGGTTCTAACTGATCGGTGGGAAACGGAAGGATTGGCAAAGACCATTCCCTGACAGTCAGTGAAAACCTCTTATACCACTCTAAAACGACGTTGTCATGATGATGACCTACCTTGCACGTGTTTGTTACACCAGCTGGAGTTACAACAGTTGATCATGTGGAAACTCTTGTGATTTTGGAAGCCCAGAGCATCCTGGCAGTGGGAAAGCTGGCCACAACCCTTGATACGTTCTTGGTCCTTGGGAAATTCTATCAATGGGATGGAAAAATAAAGGTGTAAATGTGTTTTTGGCTTCCAGGGGACACCCTGTTCCATGAGTTGAGATCCCCTAAGGCAGTGGTTCTCAACCTTTTTAATGCCGCGACCCCCAACCGGTTGTAAGTCGAGGACTAAACCGGTCGTAAGTCGAGGACTTTCCCTCCCTGGGAGCGCCGCACATGCGTGGTTCCGCCCCCTGCGCCGGCCGAGGCGTAGCTGGCAAGCGGCAGAGACGGAGCAGGCCGACCACCAGCTGGCCCAGCTCAAGGGAGGTAAGGCACCGGTCGGAAAAGGGGAAAAAATGGCGGACAGCCTTGCTTGGCGACCCCCGTGAAATGGTCGATCGACCCCAAATGGGGTCGCGACCCATAGGTTGAGAACCGCTGCCCTAAGGGGTAGACAACCTTGGCTCTTTTATGACTCGTGGACTTCAACTCCCAGAATTCCTGAGCCAGCCATGCTGAAGGGAAAGGGAGAGGTTTCCATGCTGAGCCATGCTGGCTCAGGAATTCTGGGAGTTGAAGTCCACGAGTCATAAAAGAGCCAAGGTTGCCTACCCCTGGTCTAGTCCAACCCCTTGCTCAAGTAGGAGACCCTATTCCATTTTAGACAAATGGGTGTCCAATCTCTTCTTCAAAACCTCCAGTGTTGGAGCACCCACAACTTCTGGAGGCAAGTCGTTCCACTGGTTTAATTCTTCTCACGGTCAGGAAATTTCTCCTTCGTTCTAGGTTGCTGGTCCCAAAGGTGCTTTTCAAGAGGCAACTGGACTTTTTTTCTTTGAAAAGCACCTTTGAGTCAACCATGACCTAGGTCAGGGGTAGGCAACCTTGGCTCTTTTATGACTCGGGGACTTCAACTCCCAGAATTCCTGAGACAGCCATGCTGAGGGGAAAGGGAGAGGTTTCCATGCTGAGCCATGCTGGCTCAGGAATTCTGGGAGTTGAAGTCCACAAGTCATAAAAGAGCCAAGGTTGCCTACCCCTGCTCTAAACCACCACATTTAAAATGTAAAATTGTCACGCCTTTTATGGCAAAAAAAAAAATTGACTGTATTATTCTGCACAGCAAAACTGGGAGAGTTGATTTACCTTCTTACTAGAGCCCATCAGCCCAAACAAGAACACCACAGTTTTGCGAACGGGGGAGTGAAATGCTAATTTTAATCCCCACATACAGAGGGCAAAAAATGACTTTATTATTCGGCACAACAGTGCTGGCTGTGAGCTATTTCATCGTCTTAGTGGACATCACACCATTCTGAGAATGGGGGAGTAAAATGCTAATTACTACACAATATATTTATTTGGTGGGGTGGGTGGGTGGGAGGTGAATGCTACACCATTAAGCTATCCTTTAAAATTTGAACATTTTTAAAAGGTTACTACAAATTCACAGCGATCCCTAAATACATTGTGCTTGGGCTGTATTTGCCCCTTCCTTTCAATTTGGTTAATTGCAACAGCTCCACTTACAAACACGCAAAGCAGGCTTTAATTTTGGTCAGTTTTGTAGCTTTCTGGGTGGGGTGAATCCTGCTTAAATGTATTTTGCATAGTCTGTGTTTAGACCAGTGTTCCTCAACATTGGTCCCTTGAAGATATATGGACTTCAACTCCCAGAATTCCCCAGCCAATAGCCAAGGTTTAGAAAATAGTGCTATTATTGTCTACTAATAATTAGAAAGCCTGGCTATATGGATACATAATTGGATAATGCTGGTTACTAGGTGGTTTTTTTATATTGTGCATTTTATTTATTTTATTGTAATCCACCTAGAATGGTGAAAAAGTGAGGTGGGCTGCTATATAAAATGAATCAATCAATAAATGAGATATTGCACAAAAAACTTTTTTTGATCAATTAAAAAGTGTGTATGTGTGTGTGTATTTATTCCCTGGATCTAAATTCATTCATCTTATGTTGAACTCAGCATTTCTGCCATATATGCTGCAATGAATGGGTTGCCAAAGCTAATAAATTACAGGTAGTTACAAGGACTGTGCATTTTATTTATTTATTAAATGTATATAGATTGGATTCTATTTAAAATGGTTCCCCACAGATCACTCTTTTAGACCTAGAGGTTTCAGTAAGTTTGTGGACATGTTTAACATGCAAGCACGGGAAGCTTGAATTATCCAGTTATTCAGAGTATCTCTGGGATTTAAGCCGACTGGAGCTGAAGGGTAAATGTAAAATGAAAAGGCAAAATGGTAAAATGAATAAAATGATTTCCTGTACAAAACGAGGAGATCAGAGGAAGAAGCAGCCAAGAAATTGCACCTCGGAAGAAGCCACGGACTCACCTTCTGGATCTGTCAAGGAGGTGATATCCACACACTTTTCCTGGGGCCAGAAACAATTCATCTGTGTGAGACTGGAGTTGTTACAAGTGTTATCAGCAGCTGTACAAGAATAGCAACTCAGGATGTTTTCTCTGTGGCCTCGGACATGGATCATATCCCTCACTGTCCAGGAGAAAAACGGCAAACCGTTGAAACAGTGAATGAGTCTTTGTATATTCTTGCACACATTAATCAATATTATTATGCCAGAGTCTCTAGGCATCATAGCACGTCCTAAACCCCTTTGAGAGCTGGCCTTGGGCTCTCCGTTGCATAGGCAACCTTGGCTCTTTTATGACTCGTGAACTTCAACTCCCAGAATTCCTGAGCCAGCATGGCTGGCTCAGGAATTCTGGGAGTTGAAGTCCACGAGTCATAAAAGAGCCAAGGTTGCCTACCCCTGGCCTAGACCTTATCTCTCCCAGTTTTGAGCGCCATTGTCAAGACATGAGCAAAAGAGAAAATCTAGATGAAAAGGCAAATCACTCTTGACAGTTGTTGTTGTTGTTAGTTGCGAAGTCGTGTCCGACCCATCGTGACCCCATGGACAACATTCCTCCAGGCCTTCCTGTCCTCTACGATCTTCTGGAGTCCATTTAAGCTCACGCCTCCTGCTTCAGTGACTCCATCCAGCCACCTCATTCTCTGTCGTCCCCTTCTTCTCTTGCCCTCAATCTTTCCCAGCATCAGGCTCTTCTCCAGCGAGTCCTTCCTTCTCATTAGGTGGCCAAAGTACTTGAGTTTCAACTTCAGGATCTGGCCTTCTAAAGAGCAGTCAGGGTTGATCTCTTCTAGGACTGACCGGTCTGATCGCCTTGCAGTCCAGGGGACTCGCAGGAGTCTTCTCCAGCACCAGAGTTCAAAGGCCTCCATTCTTTGGCGCTCAGCCTTTCTTATGGTCCAACTTTCACATCTATACATTGCAACTGGGAAAACCATGGCCTTGTCTCTGCTTTTTAGTATGCTTTCTAGATTTGCCATAGCTTTCCTCCCCAGGAGCAAGCGTCTTTTAATTTCTTGGCTGCAGTCCCCATCTGTGGTGATCTTGGAGCCCAGGAAGATAAAATCTGTCACTACCTCCATTTCTTCCCCATCTAATCAAGCTCCTATATGCTCAAATATATACATACTTCTGGGTACTTCCTTGGGAACACCACTGTTGCACAGATCGGTTTCACAATGTTCTTCTGCCAGAAACACAAGTCGATGGCCCAGAAGGTGTGAGATGGAATTATTTGGCTTTCCACTTACGTCACAACCCTTGAGGAAGTAGGGGGAGATCTTGTGTCCTGCAGGACAATGGAGAAAGAGAAAGGCAGAATCACAACTCTAGCCGTGACAGCCGTGGTGGGATTCAAATAGGTGAACAACCGGTTCTCTGTGTGGATGCCGCTTCCGGAAGTCCATTCCGGGCCCGGGCAACAAAAAATTAGCTACCGGTTCTGCCGAAGTGGTGCGAACTGGCTAAATCCTACCACAGGAAGGAAGAAAGGAAGGAAGGAAGGAAGGGAGGGAGGGAGGGAGGGAGGGAGGGAGGAAGGAAGGAAGGAAGGAAGGAAGGAAGGAAGGAAGGAAGGAAGGAAGGAAGGAAGGAGTGGTGGGATTCAAATAGGTCAGGGGTAGGCAACCTTGGCTCTTTTATGACTCGTGGACTTCAACTCCCAGAATTCCTGAGCCAGCTAGGCTGAAGTCCACGAGTCATAAAAGAGCCAAGGTTGCCTACCCCTGAAATAAGTCAACAACGGTTCTCTGTGTGGATGCCGCTTCCAGAAATCCATTCCAGGCCCAGGCAACAAAAAATTAGCTACCAGTTCTGCCGAAGTGGTGCTAACCGGTTGAATCCCACCACTGCATGACAGGCTTGCCAGCCCATAAAAATTGGCTCCCCATTTTTAATGTGGATTCTTCCTATCTTTCACTTGATAAGCTGTGTTGGTGTAAAATGGAAAACTAATAAAAATTGTTTTGGAAAAAAAAGAATGTTTTTCACCCTTCTATGAAAAATTACCAGACAGAGGAATGCTCTGAAACATCAGATACCACGGTATTTATGCCCTTGTGTCGGAGCCCTATTTCTTTTTTTAAAAAAAGTTTGTGTGTGTGTGTGTGTGTGTGTACATGTGCACAGGCACGTGTAAAAGGAGTATGCAAAACTTTCCGATCTTGAAATAATACTTTGTGACCTGTTAGTTGTCCTTAAATTAGGAGATGGTTATCCTTCACTCAGGTTATCCTTAATAATAGTTATATTCAAGTCAGGAAAGTTGACACCACGTAGCTCTGAATGCTTCAGCATCCCTCATATGGCTAACATAATTGATATCTCTGGAAAATGTGAGTATAATATATATTTCTAATTTAGATAGAAAAGGTCCAGGTATTTCTGAGTCTGTTGCATCCTGTTAGTTTTGCACAAAGCAAAACAATAAATCAGCGTCAATAAATAACTCTGTTCTTCCGTTTTTTCTATCCTGCCTGGATCAGCCATGGGTCATTCACTCTTTCTCTCCCACCCTCTTTTCCCTATCATGACCTCCCTTCCCCCCCCTCCCAAAAACTTACGATTGATTATGGTCATGACGGTGGTCTTGCACATCTTCTGGTGCTCTTTACATGTTTCCGTTTCTCGGCAGTCGCTGTTTCCACTACATGAGTAGCACTGGAGGGCAACAACTGTTAGAAGAGTAACAGAATAACAGAGTTGGAAGGGACCTTGGAGGTCTTCTAGTCCAGCCCCCTGCTCAGGCAGGAAACCCTAGACCATTTCAGACAAATGGTTGTCCAATCTCTTCTTTAAAAATGTCCAGTGTTAAAGCATTCACAACTTCTGGAGGCAATTTGTTCCCCTGGTTAATTGTTCTCTTAGGAAATTTCTCTCTAGTTCTAGGTTGCTTCTCTCCTTGATTAGTTTCCATCTGTTGCTTCTCGTTCTGCCTTCAGGTATTTTGAAAAATAGGTTGACCCCCTCTTCTTTGGGGCAGCCCCTGAGATATTGGAACACTGCTATCATGTCACCCCTCATCCTTCTTTTCATTAAACTAGACATGCCCAATTCCTGTATTCTTTTCATATGTTTTAGCCTCCAGTCCCCTAATCATCTTTGTTGCTCTTCTCTGTACTCTTTCTAGAGTCTCAATATCTTTTTATATCTTGGCGACCAAAACTGGATGCAGTATTCCAAGTGTGGCCTTACCAAGGCATTATAAAGTGGTATTAACACTTCATGCGATCTTGATTCTATCCCTGTTAATGCAGCCCAGCACTGTGTTGGCCTTTTTGGCAGCTGCAGCACACGGCTGGCTCATATTCAAATGATTGTCCACTAGGACTCCAAGATCCCTCTCACAGTTGCTACTATTGAGCCATGTTTATCTCGGGGGTAGGGATGAAATGGGTGCTTTAAAAAGATTAAGACACCTTTTTATTCCTTAGGTGGGCAACTGTGGGAAAGGAGATCAGCCAACAATGAAATAAGTATCACAATGTCACACCAGTTCAGCTCCCTTTGTCTCATTTTCGTGATGTCTCACATAAGTATTTCAGGAGTGGATTTTTGCATTGTGATTTTATGATGCAAGTTTTGTTTCAAATTTTCTAGCCACCTATATATAAATTGCATGGAAAAGGGGGGGAAGTGAGCGATCAATTATTTTTAGCTGCTAATTTTTGCCTTTTGCATTGTCCTAAAAAAGCAAACCGATCTGTGCTTGATCGCTGTTGAGTTGTTCATGGTTTCATTAAATAAACATTTAATTTTTAAAAAATAAATAAATAAATAAATAAATAAATAAAATAAACCAGGCATCTTACAACGGTCTAAGACTGCAGGGTTAGTTAGAGTCTTGCTGGTTAATTTTTCTTCTATCTAATACCTGCCTCTGATGAAAACCTCGGCCCTCAAGATTAGAAAAAAAAAACCAAAACGTTTATTTCCCCTGCCATAATCTCACCGGCCACTAGGGGAGCAGTCAACGAGGCACCCAAAAGTGCCAACTCTGCGCTGCTCTCTAGCGGCCATCTGCATTTCTGCAGTCCAAATCCTAACACGGTAACCAATTAGCAACTACTTCCCATTGAAAATAAAGAGACAAGGATGGGGGGTAGGGTTGCCAGGTCTGCTTCCAAAAAATAGCGGACAAGCGGGGGGGGGGGGTTAAGTAGTAAAAAAAAGTAGACTGTACAGCTTTAGATTACGTACCATTTCATCATAAAGCTTTTGAATAAAAAAAAATGTCCACTATTTTGTGAAAAAAAATAGTGAACATAATGTGAAAAAAGTGGGCTGTCCACTCAAATAGTGGACACCTGGCAACCTGGGGGGGAAAAAAACAAAAAACCTACAATTCTGCTTCTTTCTCCCCTGCCTCCGAAACCCTGCTCTGGAATCAGCCGGATCGATTTTTTTTTTTTCTCTTCCTCCCCCAGATCATAAAGAAAGTTAAAATTTTGAAAGCTCCGGAGCGAAACTCATTCGAGGCAGATCCGGCTTTCATTTCCAGCCTCTGCACACAAAAGACAATACACAGAAGCGTTCGCCTCCCACCAACCCCCGTTCCTCTTTTTCATTTTCTTCCTTCCTTCCTTCCTTTTCTCTCTTTCTTTTTTTTTTTTCTTTTTTGCTTTTTACCTTCTGTCACCACCAAGGAGAACAAAACGCCGGTCCAAAAGCCCTTCATCGGTTTTCGGGATGCAGAAGATGACCCGGGACGATGTAGGTAGGAGCAGGCTGGTAAATCCGCAAAGCGTAAGGGGGGGTCCTGGGAGCAATTCTTGCAGCCCGAGGGGGGAGAGAGAGAAAAAAAAGAGACACTGCGGTTCCTTCCTTCTCGCGCTCTGCTTATGTTTGAAATCCACCCCCCTCCTCCAGCTGGGCCGGCCCCATCCCGGGCATCACTTGCAAAAAAACGCCCCTCTTTTTTCTTTTTTCAGAGAAGTTTCGGAGAGTGACGCAGCGGCGGCGGAATGAAGAAGGAGCATGGAAGAGAAGGGAAGTGATGAAAAGTTCGCATCGCGGCCACATCAGCTTTCTCCCCCCCCCCCCCACCATCCCTTGCTTGCAGAAGCGGCTAGTCCTCAGGGCGGGGTTTTCCCGTCCTTGGCAACTTTAAGGCAGGTGCCAACTATGTTTGGGTTTTTTTTTTTTCGCCCCCTCGGTTTGTTTTAACGTGTTTTGCACGGCGGGGCGTTAAGAATACAAGGCTGCTGGGGTTTCCTTCAGGATGATGAAACGCGCATCGCTTTGTTTGTTTGTTCCTTGCCTTTATTGTGGTTAGCAATGACTCGAGCTGGCAAACGGAACTGATATTCATTCTTCCTCCTATTTTCCCCCACAACGACAACAACACTGTCAGATAGGTTGGGCTGAGAGAGTAACTGGCCCAAAGGCACCAGGTAAGCTTTCGTGCCTAAAAGGAGATTCCCAAAAGAAGTAATAATAATAATAATAATAATAATAATAATAATAATAATAATAATAATAATAACAACAACAACAACAACAACAACAACAACAATAAGTAGTAGTAGTAGTAGTAGTAGTAGTAGTAGTAGTAGTAGTAGTAGTAGTAGTAGTAGTAGTAGTAGTTGGAAGGGACCTTGGAGGTCATCAAGTCCAACCCCCTGCTCAGGCAGGTAACCCTATACCATTTCGGACAAATGGCTGTCCAGTCTCTTCTTAAAAACTTCCAATGTTGGAGCATTCACCGCTTCTGGAGGCAGGTTGTTCCACTGGTTAATTGTTCTAACTGTCAGGAAGTTTCTCCTTAGTTTTAGGTTGCTTCTCTCCTTGGTCAGTTTCCATCCATTGCTTCTTGTCCTGCCTTCAGGCGCTTTGGAGAATAGCTTGACTCCCTCTTCTTTGGGGCAGCCCCTGAGATATTGGAACACGGCTATCATGTCACCCCTCGTCCTTCTCTTCATTAAACTAGAGATACCCAATTCCAGCAACCGTTCCTTATATGTTTTAGCCTCCAGTCCCCTGATCATCTTTGTTGCTCTTCTCTGTACTCTTTCTAGAGTCTCAACGTCTTTTTTACATCGTGGTGACCAAAACTGGATTCAGTATTCCAAGTGTGGCCTTACTAAGGCATTGTAAAGTGGTATTAATACTTCATCTGATTTTGATTCTATTCCTCTGTTAATGCAGCGTAACACTGTGTTGGCTTTTTTGGCAGCTGCAGCACACGGCTGGCTCATATTTAAATGATTGTCCACTAGGACTCTGAGGATTTTTGTGAAAAAGCACCTTTGGGATAACTGCATGACCTGGATCAGGGATCCCCAACCCCTGGTCCATGGACCAGTACCGGGCTGCGGCATGCCAGCAACTGGGCTGCACAAACAAGCAAAGCCCCATCTGTGGGATGCAGGCAGCACACAAAACCACGTCCCCTCCGGTCTGCAGAAAAACCTCTGTCCACGGAACCGGTCTCTGGTGTCCAAAATGTTGGGGACCTCTGACCTGGATGCCTGAGAATCTCCATAGACTAAAAGGGGATTAGAACTCACAGCCTCCAAGTGTCTAGCCTAGGGGAGACCACTAGACCAGGTCTCTCCAAACTTGGCAATTTTAAGACTTTGTTGTTGTTGTTGTTGTTAATTGCGAAGTTGTGTCCGACCCATCGCGACCCCATGGACAACGTTCCTCCAGGCCTTCCTGTCCTCTACCATCTTCTGGAGTCCATTGAAGCTCACGCCTCCTGCTTCAGTGACTCCATCCAGCCACCTCATTCTCTGTCGTCCCCTTCTTCTATTGCCCTCCATCTTTCCCAGCATTAGGCTCTTCTCCAGTGAGTCCTTCCTTCTCATTAGGTGGCCAAAGTACTTGAGTTTCAACTTCAGGATCTGGCCTTCTAAAGAGCAGCCGGGGTTGATCTTTTCTAGGAGTGACCGGTTTGATCGCCTTGCAGTCCAGGGGACTCGCAGGAGTCTTCTCCAGCACCATAGTTCAAAGGCCTCAATTCTTTGGCGCTCAGCCTTTCTTATGGTCCAACTTTCACAGCCATACATTGCAACTGGGAAAACCATGGCCTTGACTATACGCACTTTTGTTGGCAGGGTGATGTCTCTGCTTTTTAGTATGCTGTCTAGATTTGCCAACTTTAAGACTTGTGGGCGTCAACTCCTGGCTGGGGAATTCTGGGAGTTGAAGTCCACAAGTCTTAAAAAGTTGCCAAGTTTTGGATACCCTTGCATTAGAGACCAAGCTGGCTCTCATAACAGCACAATGCAAGTTCCACGCCTTAAATACTTGCATCAGACATCATGAATGGGGGGAATCAAAGGAGCCGAATGTGGTCTAAAGTACTACCTGTACATTTCAGGTCATTTTCAAGATCACAGTTGCTTCTTTTAAAAGGATATTAAAGCAAGGGCCCCCAACCCCCGGTCCAGGGACCGGCACTGGTCCACGGCATGCCAGAAACCGGGTCGCAAACAAGGGAAGCCCCCATCCGTGGGATGCAGGCAGCACACAAAACCAGGTGAAACCATGTTTTTCCAGTTCTTGGAAAAAACTCTCTCCATGGAATCAGTCCTTGGTGCCCCAAAAGATCGGGGGGGGGGGGGCTGTATTAAAGGACAGCTTAAATGAAGGATTAGTGTTGGATCTGGGCAGGGTTCCCTACGGCCCCTCAATGTTGCTGTCCACTTGAAGGAAATTATGGGAAAGCGCTTGTCAAAGTTCACCCTTGTGGTCTTGTGTAAGGCTGCGTTCACATGATGTATTGAACTACAAACTCATCAAACGCTCTTTTGCAGAGCGTACAACGCTCAACTAACCCGCCCATGTTGCTAATTTTATGGTTGAGCCATAAGTAGAGGGGGCACAATTGTGAGTGTGTGTGTGTGTGTGTGTGTCCCCTTTTGGTATTTTTTTGTGCATTAGAAAGGAAGGAGGAAGGGTTGGCTCTGTCCTCAGGTGGAAAAATACCTGCCTAGGATTCTGGAGGTGCTGGGGGGGGAATTCTGGGAGTTGAAGTTCTCACCTATCCTGAGAAACACTGTCTTAGTATGCGGAAAACTGCATACAACGATCATGGCCAGCAGCCCCAGAGTTCTATAGAGCATGTGCAAAGTGCAGGATCTCCCTCCTTACCTGAGGTGGAGGATCTTACCTGCCCTGCACACTTTTTAATGCTTTAGGGCTAGCCCAGGGGTAGGCAACCTTGGCCCCTTCATGACTCGTGGACGTCAACTCCCAGAATTCCTGAGCCAGCATGGCTCAGCATGGCAACCTCTCCCTTTCCCCTCAGCATGGCTGGCTCAGGAATTCTGGGAATTGAAGTCCACGAGTCATAAAAGAGCCAAGGTTGCCTACCCCTGGTATAGGGTTTTCTACTTGAGCATGGGGCTGGACTAGAAGACCTCCAAGGTCCCTTCCAACTCTCTTGCACTAGGCCGTTTCCTTTTTTCATTATTTTTATTTGTTTTTTTTTTAATTTGGTGTTTTGTTTTTTTATTTATTTATTTATTTTTAATTTTGTTCCGTGCTGTTGTACAGCCTCCGGAGCCATGTATTTTGAGTTTTAAATAAATAAAATGTTTTAAACAAATAACGGCATCCTTCTCGCCCACCCTCTTCTTGAGAAGAGGTGAGTCTTTTCTAAATTCTAAATCATGCGCGGCAAAGGAGTCTCTGACTCAGCCTCTTGACGTGTCCGGAGGCCAGGAATAATTTATACATGAAGGCAGATGTGTGCAGGAAAAAGAAAATTTGTGAAGATTTTTCTCCGCATGTCTCTGTCTTTTTTTCCCTTTCTTTTCTAATTTTTCTATCACATATTTTTTTTGCACTTTTAATTAGCTTCTTTATTTATTTCTTTTTTTTCTCCCATACTTTTGATTAGTTTGCATTCGTTTTTATTTCCTTTTTAAACGTTTTAATACAAAGTTTGTATCTATAAACGAAACGCCCTTGTGTTTTGTGAAGACTATTAGAAGTGAAGAATATCAGAATCTCTTGGAGTCTCTGAATCTGAGCAGCATCGTGGCCTAAGTGGCGAAGACTCTCACTCAGAAGGTTGAGAGTTCGATCCTAGATAGCAGAGTTCTCTCCTAGGGCACAAAGAGAGAAACATCTGCTGTGAACTCCAGGTGGTGTCAGGCAGGGCATCCAGCTAGTAAATACTCAGCTCCATGCAATTGCCCTGACTTTACCCTGCCTGAATTAAGGGATTACAGGGTTGAAATAAAGGAAGTTTTTGAGTCTTTGAATCTATTTTCTATTTTCATTTTCCTTATTTCTGGGTTGTTGTTGCTGTTATTGTTGTTTTTGCACTTTTGGCTTGCGCTTTGCCTTCTTTTTACTTTTTCCCTCACTTATTGGATTTTAGTTTCTCTCTCTGTGTGTGTGTCTTTCTCTCTCTCTTTCTTTCTCTTTCTCTCTCTCTCTTTCGTCTCTCTCTCCCTCCCTCCCCCCTCTCTCTCTCTGCCTCTCTCTCTCCCTGTCTCTCTCTTTCTCCCTCCCTCCCTCTCTCCCTCTCTCTCTGTCTCTCTTTTTTCTCTCTTTCTCTCTCTCTCTGCCTCTCTCTCTTTCTCTTTCTCTCTCTCTCTCTCCTTGTCTCTCTCTCCCTCCCTCCCTCCCCCTCTCTCTTTCTCTCTCTCTCTGCCTCTCTTTCTCTCTCTTCTCTCCCTGTCTCTCTCTCTCCCTCCCTCTCCCTTTCTCTCTGTCTCAATTTTTCTCTTTCTCTCTCTCTCTCCTTGTCTCTCTCCCTCCCTCCCTCCCTTCCTCCCTCTCTCTCTCTCTTTCTCTCTCTCTGTCTC